GAGGTGGGCAAAGGGAGGTGAAAAATGGGGACCTCTGTAATAGTGTCAACAATAAAAGAAAAAAAATTATTTTCCATAACCTTTTCTGAAAATTAAAAATATTTTTATATATTTCCGCTCAGCAGCCGCTGACCCACTTATTTTGCCTCCTGAAACAATGCATGAGTTATCTTTTTCCTAGTTGCAACTTGTACTGACCTAGTTTGTCATGTTTACCACTTGCAGATACCAGTTGTTGTCCTCCAAATTCCCCTTATTATGTTTCCTAAGTCCACATACGCTACCAGTGTGTTATCTGCAGTTTCCCCATCTTTCTCTGATGTTCTATAATTCAGCTCTCCTTAATCTCCCAGAAATCACGCTTTCTGGACCTCCCAGAGCTGACTTCAAATGCACGCCTCAAAGCAGCTTGTCTCCATTGCTCGGATGCACAGTGACAGCATCTTTTACCCTGTTCTAGTTTCTAGGAAATCTGCGTTACTTCTTTTCAGACAGATGTTTTTCTTTAATGGACTCTGTCTTCCCTGCCTTACAGTTTTCTTCTTTAAAAAAATCTCGTATCCGGTTCATGAATTCCTAGTAAATCAAATTACCTTCAGAGAGCCCAGCAAGTGTGACAGTCTAAAATAAAGAGCGTTATTAAGTCCTCTAAGTCATTCTGGACCTGCATCATGTTGGGATCAAACTGATTTTCAGACTGATCCTCTCCTATTCCCAAGCCACCACTAGCTCACTTCCTCAGTTTTAAGTTCTAGCTTCTTTTATGTCATTGTACAATCTCCTAAAACCTTGCTGACAATTCACTGCTTTAAGTCAGTGAGTCACAACTATGCACTCAGAGGAAAGAAAGTACAGCCAAGGAGATGGACACATTCTGCATCATCACAGGGCTTATAATCAAGCTGAGGAAATGAAGTAATAATATCCCCTCGGACAGGCAGGATTCCACAAGCAAAATTCAGTCATGTCTCTTTGCCCATTTATTCCTTGTGATGTAAATAAGTCAGGCATCCCTTCCCTTTTTTCACAGATAGGACTGAGAGCCACAGTAATCATCCCAAAGGCTCACAACAAGCGTGTCCTAGAAAAGACCCAGATCAACTGGCAACTGGTAGAGTGCCCATGAACACACATAATGCAACAAAAGAAAAATAACTCTGTTATGTGCATGAGTGTACGCAAGAGAAGATAACATGTGGTTAATATAGTCATTACAGTTATTTGGAAATAATGTAGGAAGGCTTCCTGTAAAAAGTAGTTCCAGAAAGGTGGATATTACATAATAGATAATGAAGAGGCGATCTACAGGAACTGAGCTAAAAACAAGGCCAAACATGCATAAAATCACATCAGCAAAGAAGCTGGTAGACACATAGATAACACTAAATAAATACTGAGATCAAATAAGAAAATAATATAATCATTAAAAGAGAAAGTTAAAAACACCATGGAACCAAAGTACAAGACAATAATAATTTAGAAGGTGAGAAGGCGAACAGAGGTCCTTGAATTATTCAGGAGAAGAGTAAAGATAACAAGAAGCCAAATATTGATGCTAAAATATGGATCCTGCTGTTAGGAGTAATCAATTAGGAAAATTTCCAAACCAGCGGGGGGCCAGGAGATTTTAAAAAAATGCAATCAATCCAAAAGGTAGCAGAAAAGAAGAAAACTAAAATCAGAAACAGAGAGAAAAGCAAAGAAAAAGCATTTTAAAATGGAAAATAGGATGCTCTATAAGTAAATCAAAGTGTAATTCACTGGAATAGATATACATAGATGAAACTTGCCCATTAGAGAGACGTTCAAAATCTACAGACTATTTATTAAAAATCCAGCTACAGTATAATAATCTAGAATGATAAAAAATTAAAGGATAGAAATAGATATACCAAATTGATTTTAGTTTTGATAGTATCAAGCCAATAGACCTTAAACAAAAACAAAAAAAGCATTTTTAGGTACAAAGAAAGTTAGAAAATAATATTGAGGATACCTCCCAGAAAGTATAGCAAAAAAGATAAAATATTGGGAAATAGGAAAGGAGGAAAAAGAAGGAAATTAGTGGACTAGTCCAGTAGGTATAATATCCAAATAAAAGGAGTGCCAGCAAGAAAAAGAACTGAGAAAAGTGGGGAGAGAGAGTGAAGGACACAGGAAAAAAATCAAGACATGCTCTTTCCAGATTGAAAAGGCCACCGAGTCAGTGCCTGGGAAAACTAACGAAGACAGACTCACACTAGGGCGTATCAGGAGTACGTTTCAGAGCTCTGGGACGCAGGAGGGACACCAAACTTCCAGAAAGAGAAAACAGGTCGCATGTAAAGCATCAGAAATCACAGTGGCTCAAGGTGCTTAAAGGATTCTTAGAAGGTGGACTGCAGTGGCATTATGACTTTCAAATTCTGAGGACAAATTATCTCTAGCCTAGAATAGTATAGCTAGCCAAACTGTCAGTATGGTGGGAGGGTAGAAAGGAGAGCTATTTGTTTAAGCAAAGGATGCTGATAGAATATTGTTTTCATTAATATAGTAAAGAGAGATGCAGACAACTGATAGAGGGATTAGTGATAAGTCCATAAGACTAAGCAAATGATTAAACCAGACAGCTACCGACTCTCAGGAAAACGGAAAGTGCAGGAAATGCAGCTGTAAATAGCCTATCTGTAGTCATAATAATGTAAACACCTAATATTTATTGAACCAAGAGGTTAAACCTACATTGTGAAAATGGGGTGATGGAAGTAGTGCATGTATACAGTGAGGGCAGGGGGTTAAAATCTCAAATTCCATAGCAAGAAGTCGAGGACAAGACCTAAAGCTGAAAAGCCAAGAGGTGGGTATCTAATCACATTGTTTGGTGACATGGAAGCAAACAATAAAAGAATGTCCCCAAACAATTCGGAAGTGGCTGCCTCTAGCTTCTGCTCTTTTATGAAACCAGATATCGCCAACTGTTCTTCATAGAGGTTCTACCAGCTTATACCCCGTTGAGTGCCCACGCCATCCCTTTATGGGTTCAGGTCCCTAGGAGTGCCGCCAAGTCAGGGTTAGATGTGCGGGAATTTCCCTGAGAAAAAAGCCTGGGAGGGGTAAGGGGAGGAGGGGGGAGCCTTCAGACTGCGGGGCAGGGGTGACCCGGGTAAGGAGGGAAGGAAGGATCGCGCGGGAAGAGCCTCAGCCCAGAGTACACACATGGGGAGTCGAAAGCAAAAGTCGCTCAAGGTGCGAGCTCTGCACTGACCGGGAAGAGGTGAATTATAATATTACCACCCGCCTTAGCGCTGGGCAAGCTCTCGGCCTGGGGGAAGGGTGGCTGCGGGGTGGAAGCCCCCGCAGACGGGAAAACGCAGCAGCTGTCAGCTGTGTTGGTAAATGATTAGCAACCGGTTCTACTGCGAGTTAAAAACAAAACAAAACAAAAAAACTCTATTTGTAGCATTTGCAGCCTTCTGGGTGTAAATAGTCCATTATGGGCAGTCCCAAGCCACCAGTGTGACAGTGTGATGACTCACACGCCGAGTTGGAAAGCGCTGCTGACGACTGGCTTTCCCAAACCAGGACCCGGAGCCAGGGAAACAGTAGCTGCGCTCCGGGCAGCGGGTTTCCTGCGGGTGATTTGAGCAGCGACCCTCCTGGGCCACCCTCCTCACCAACCTAGTGTGCTCACAAAGAACTGATCTTAATAGTGGGATAACTAAAAGCAGTATGTCAGCGTAGTTTGCAGTTTTACTTTGTGTTTTCCTTAATATGAGGCTGAGAATCTTCTGATATATTTATGTATTATACCAAATGTGTTTATTGTTACGTAATATATTTAATGTATTTTCTTTTCCATGAATTGGACCAATCCTTTGATTATTTTATTGAAATCATTATGCCTACGTTCTAAATAACTGAAACCTTAATGTATTAATTTTAAGATAGTAATCCATTTAGTAAGTTAAATATAAATATTACTTAGTATCTACTTATCACACGATTAACATCTTCAGAGTTAACTCATCTCAACTCTTTTTAGAGGGTAAATAGGAAAGAAATAAATGTACCTTAACAGTTTGGTGTAAGTAAAATCCTTAGAGAACAAATTACTATGATTCCTTTTTTCCCAATAAATTTTAAAATAACAATTACATGTATAGTATCAAAATATAATGTCTACATGTAACTTTTAGACAGATAGGTTTCTAAAATAAAAAGTTGATTGAATGTGAAAAATTTACATTTGAACAGCCTACAAGGGAGAGTAGAGTCTTCAGGGAAGTTAAGTTTATAGTATTATCATTATGAGCACATTTTAATAACATATATATTCTATATTGGCTCATTTATATATTATTAGTTGAGATGACTGGTTGCATCCTATTAGTTTGGTGTAGCAAGTTGAAATTAACCACTATTAAATTAGAGGCTCAGAAACTCTGGATGAAGTTGTCTTTTAAGCTAGTATACATATTTTAAGTATTTCTGTTGTGCAGATGACACTGAATTAGCAGAACCTTTCATTTGAGCAGACATCAGAAGATACCTAATACAGTCTCTAACTGCAAATTTACTTAGGTAAATTTACAGCAAAAGCTATAAAGAATCCAAAAAGGCACAAATTCAAGAATTGTTTTTCCGCAGAAGTTTTCTTATCTTTATGTTAATTTGATCTATGGATACCTGGAGTTTTAAAATGCTACAGTTCTCCAAAGCAAATCCATCTATTTCGTCGTCTTTCAACCGGTTATCTATTTCATGAACTGTATTTGACTCAATGTCGCTGCTTTTCTTCTGCTCCACCTCTTCCAACCACAGCCTCCAATTCTCCCAAGCAAAACCTCTAACCACAGCCATTTCCCAAGTCATCAGTATTTTCAACCAGAAATCAAGTGGGAAAAGCAGATAAAAATTAATTGGTGGCTAAAAAGAAGTTTGGAATATCTACAAATTCCTTTTATCTTAATTTTCTCAAAACATGAACCACAGTGCTCAAAAAACAAAAAGAAGAAACTTACCTCATCCACATTTTCAAAGGCATTGATGATGTCATAAGGTAAACAAGACAGCAGGTCGATCACAAACCAAGTTTTCAGGTAGTTCATTCTTATCAGCTTGGGGTCAGAAATGACTTCTCCGCCAGGTCCCACAAAGGTCGTGTGAAAATTTAAAACAATGTCAACCAGAAAAATAACATCCACCACGCTGTCCAGCACCAACCAGGCGATGTTGTTCTGCTTTGTTTTGAAGGACACGTTATAAGGAACCATAATGGCGGTATAGAAGGTAAGAATTAAAATCACCCAATCCCAAGTAGTTTTAAAAGCACAATAGTGTAAAATAATGTGTGGTGGCGTCTTTGGCGCTTCTTGCTTATACTGAGGAAGGATATCTGATCCCAGCTGAAGAACCTAAAAGAGATAGAATATATATAAGTAATGTGGATATCTTTGCACAGTTAGTAATGAATTTGAACTTACTGGCAGTCCAACCAGAGCCTATGGTCATGAANCACAGTTAGTAATGAATTTGAACTTACTGGCAGTCCAACCAGAGCCTATGATCATCACTTCTGGTTTCAAGGCCATTCCTGCCCTATCATTTCATCTCCCTCTTCTGAGTTTTCCCAAAATTCGTTCAAAGGAAGTCACTTTGAATGAACTTTGGAAAAACTAAATCTAATCTCTCTGAGCAGCAGCAGTTGATCTGACTGCTGCTCCATCTGGTTTTTTCTCCAGTGGCCAACTGTTGATTCACAAACTGGGGCACCATATACAGAGGGGAAGAAGAGGCTGAGTAAAGAGGCCGACCACTCTAGATGGTAGGTGACAGTTTTAATAAGCAAGGGAGCCCGGCTGGGCATGGTTCAGCGGTTGAGCGTTGACCTAGGGTCCAGGCAATTGGGGTTCGATTCCCGGTCAGGGCACATGCCCGGGTTGTGGGCTCAATCCCCAGTCGGGGGCGTGCAGGAGGCAGCCGATCAATCACTCTCTCATCATTGATGTTTCTATCTCTCTCTCCCTCTCCTTCCCTCGCTCTGAAATCAATAAAGATATATTAAAAAAAAAAAAAAAGCAAAGGAACCTCCACATCTTGGGTGACTGCGAGAAAGTAAACTCAGTGCCAGGGTACATTATGACTCAGGCATTCTTGCATTCCTGGACCTTTTCCTCCATAAAAATAATAAAAATAAAATAAAATAAAAATTATATTTTATAGCTGCATTCTTACAAAAATCAATTAATATTATATATTCAATTTTTTAACCTAAAAGGTCATTTCTTTCCTCTACTGTTAATAGAAATTCAAACATCCTGTAGACCCCTAAAAGTGCTGCATGCCCTCCATTCTGTGCTGACAGACAATTCCACCCTGCTTAGTGCCCAGCAATAATGTAGGCTGTATCCTCTAGCGATGGGAGGGGATCACTCCTGAGTTCAGCATTTCTTAAATCTGGCTACAAACTGGAATCATCTGAAGACATTTTAAAAACACAGTCTATTCATAACTAGACCCCACCCCAGAAAGTAATTAATCTTGTGTGGGTTCTCAGAGAATCTGTACTTTCAAAACCTTTCCAGGTGGTTATAATGAATGGTACAAGGTAAAACCATTCTCTTCTAGTTTTTAGACAGTCAAAACCAGAGAGAGACTTGCATATCTAAAGTGACCCCAAATTCTACCAGAGGAGAAGCAGGAAGAGGGGGAAGAGGGAAAGCAGAGTGGCAACAACATCAGAGGGCAGGTGCTTAAGCTTTGATCTTCCTCACGGACAGAGCACTGCTTTAATCTTCGCTCCCTCGCTGGGGCTTCTTTATAAACCGGTTCAGTAATAACTCTTCATTTTCATTTGTACTTTCATAATCAATAAGCCTTAGGTGGAAGGGAGATAAGATAACATTTTCTGATGTATTTTTGTACCAATACAGTACATTCTTTCTCTCTGAATATCTGAGAGTATTGACTATTGTGGAGTCAGGACCATGGACAGTGGTGCGTGTGTCCCTCTTCCCAGTATAAACATGAGCAGCTGAAGCCAACCAGCAGGATGCCAGTGCGTAAGGAAAATTGGTAAATTCCCTACAGGGAGACCAGGATCTTTGAAAATAGGGACCAGCTCCAAATTTAGGGGTCCTGGTAGAGTTGAGATAAATTTTACATGTCTTGGAAAAAGTGAAAGAGCCTGAAATTCAACAGCAAATCCAAATATGCGGGTTGAGCAAATTCTACAACCCTGAGAAGTGGAAAGACCAGGCCCTTGTGCTAACTTGGTGCTTGTCCTGGGTCAGTCTTTGGAGACCCGAGAGCACACACTGACTAGATTTTTTTTTTTTTTAAAGACTCACTGGGCAGATTTTTTTTTTTTTTTTTTTTTTTTTAAATATATCTTTATTGATTTCAGAGAGAGGAAAGGAGAGGGAGAGAGAAAGAAACATCAATGATGAGTGAGCCACTGATTGAGCCCACAACCCGGGCATGTGCCCTGACAGGGCATCGAACCCTGATCACCTGGATCCTAGGTCGATGCTCAGCCGCTGAGCCACGCCCGGCCGGGCCATTGACTAGATATATTGACAACCTTGTTCTTTCTGCATGCTCTCTGAAAGCGAGGCTAAGACCTGACAGAAAGTAGTTTTGTATCTGAATCAGGTTTGTGAATTAGGGATAACTGCTAAAGAAACTAACAATAATCAAAGAGCAAAGCAAAAAAATCAGATAAGAAACAGGAATGAAAGCTCCTCAAAATAAAAGTACAAATGATAAGCTGTCAAGGGGAAAGAAACTCTCCCCTTGATGTAGAGGGGGAAAAATAGTCATGAGTGACTCAGGTGTTAAGGTAGAAAAGTTTCCTCTTTTTGGTTCCTTTCCTCTCGTGCTTGCTCAATTGTGTTAACAACAACAACAAAAACCAGAAAGCTCTGAATAGGGTGTAGCTAAGACCCAGAAAGAATCATGGCTATAAAAGTCAGCAGTCACAGAAACAAGCTCTCATACTTCAGCTTGATGTGTAGAAACAGACAACTCAAGGCAGAAAAAAGTTGCTTCAAAATCAAGTAGTACTTAGTAACAAGCGTTATTGAAAAAGGAAATTCTATCTAACTGTCTACTTTAAATCTTGTGCAAATTGCATATGATCTTTTTAAAATGTTGCGATGATTGTTAATATTTAGTTACATTAATGTCTTAATTTGGGCTTTTAAAAACATGTCTGCTGCCTGGCCAGGCATCGCTCAGCAGTTGAACATCGACCTAGGATCCAGGCGATCGGGGTTCGATTCCCAGTCAGGGCACATGCCAGGGTTGTGGGCTCGATCCCCAGTTGGGGGCATGCAGGAGCGAGCCGATCAATGACTCTCTCATCATTGATGTTTCTCTCTCTCTCTCTCCTTCTCCTTTCCTTTCTCTGAAATCAATAAAGATATATTTTTTAAAATAAATAAATAAATAAGTAAAAAAATAAAAACAAATCTGCTTATTAAAGTATTACTCTCTCCCCAAACTAACAGGTCTATTGAGAGCAGAAACTAATACGAGTCCCTCTGTGAGCTATGGTCCGAGAAAAAGTGCAGAACCCTTCAAATTCAAGGAACATACTTAATCTCCAACCCTCTCCAAACCAAATTGTCTTCAGCTAGTTAAGAAAGTTACTCTGGAGTGCTTCCGTTCACCTTTCTCCAGCAAACTGATGAACACATGCATTTAATTTCACTTTTCTCTCAGTTATCTCAGAATATTTTGCAGATGCCCACTAAGCGCTCAGCATATTTCTGGCAATTTGACTAGCTTTTGGGCATCTTTCATTATCAGTAAGACAAATGATGATCACAGAAGACATGTGAACAACAAAGCTTCAAGCTGCCTTGGAGTTCTGCCTTCATCCCTGTTCTCTCTGGTTCCAACACACCGCCTCTTGGTAATATCATCTAGTCCTTGGCTTTAACAGCCATTTCTGTGAAGATGACACCAAGGCCAGCAATTCAAACCCAGATATTCCTCTGGGGCCTGACCCATAAATCTCCACTCAGATTTCCTGTCAGGCACTTCAAACTTAATATGTCCAAAACTAAATTCCTTATCATTGCCTCCAAACTTCCTCTTCCTCCTTGTATACTTGCCATTCTATTAACCAACAGCACTCACTATCTACCTAGTTGTCAACACTCAAAACACAGAGTTGTCCAGGCCTCATCTTATTTCACATTCAATTCTAACCTATCAACAACGTGTTGACGCAGATCTTGCTGTGTCTGCAATCTGCCCACTTCTGCTTCTGGTTCCCTTGATTAAAACCATGGTCATCCTAGCTGAATGGCTACTAGAAACTCTTACCTGATTTTGCTATCTACCCATTCAGCACAGAGCCCCTAGGTCAAGCGGGGATCCTTAACCATTTTTGTGCCAAGGATCTCTTTCGGCAATCTGGTGAAGTCTATGTACCTCATCTTAGAATAATGTTTTTAAGATAATACAATAAAAACATAGGATTATAAAGGAAACCATTGGGACCAATCTCCCTTTAAAGGTTTCTCTGAAGCACAAATGCAATCATGTCACTTCCCTGGCACAAAGGATGCCCGCCAGCATTTGACTATACATCACCTTAACCTCCCCTCCCCCACCTGACTTCACCCACACTGGAGTCACTCTCAAAGTCATCACACTACCTCTTCTCTGAGCCTCTGCATATGCCGGCCGCCCTGGTAAAAATAACCTTCTAATAATCTTTACCTGCCTCTTATATTTTTCTTTCAAGATTCACTCAGCCCAGGTATCACCTCACTCAGGTAGCCCTCTCCAGAGCCCCTAGTCTGGGTCAATGCTCCTGCATGTGTGCCCACTGCACCGTCATAATATGTATCACATTCCGTTACTGGGTTCCCCTGCTAGAGTTTTAGCTCCTTGATGACAGAGCCCACTGCTTATTTCACACCTACATCCTTTGCAGAGTACCAGGTACAGAGCAAACCCTCAATACATGTGCGCTGCACACTTAAGTGGATGGCTGCAGGAACTCCCCATCTCATTTGCTCAAAGGACACCTCGCACCCTACAGACTTCACCTGGGACGTCACGAACTACTTTCCAATTTCAAAAGTAGGAGGGAATAATCAGAAATATCTGAAATTTGTATAACTCTAAAAGGGAGAAATAAATGATCAGGTCATTATTTGTAAAATAATAGCCAACAGTACGGATATTGAATCATTCGGGGGGAAATGTACCACGGCTGCCGCCTTGGAAAGCAAACTTGGCCTCCCACTTACTTCAGCTAGTCGCGAATGTTTGTGGACCACCTCTGCTTTATTCATTGGCGTGAGCTGCTGCAAAACACTTCGGCTGTTTGTCAAAGCCCGTGTCAATCGGGCAAATTTTGTCCAACCTTAAAAATAAGAAAAGAAAGTCTCGGTTTTTCACACATAAGTGACATTCTTGGTAATATTCGAATGATCTCAGGAACAGCATAACAGCCAGTGCTAATGACAACTATCAATCGAGAGTATTTTACTTCTATATAGACATCATCATATGTTTCAAGTGCGGTTATAAAATAAGTATTTTTTATGTGTGACCTTTGCGTTTTGTTCATATCTATTACATAGTCTTGGTAGGCAAAGTGGCTAGCCGTCCACGAAATTCTGTGCTCCGCCTTGCACTGCAGAGGACTGGTTTTGCTTTGTTGGGTAAAAGTGATAGTGATGAGAATGTTGGCAAAATATATATTAAATTATTTCCCTGTGGTCACTTCTCTTTCTTGCATCAACTGAATATTATAATTGCATTGAATATGTTCAGAAACTTCCAAGTGAATCTTATACTTACTAAAGTTTCCTTTTTCTAAGACAGGTGATGTTGTACCCCTTAGTACGCCTGAGTATTGGATTAAAAGTCAAGCCTATTCCCATCCTCTGTGTATTGTAAGTTTCATCCAGAAAATATTTGGAAAACTTTTTGAGGATATATTGAAGGAATAAGTTCAATGACACATGAAATTATCAAATGACATGTGTTGCCCCATTTCCAGGTTTAGGGTTTTCTTGTAGTTCTCAGTCCTAAGCAATCAGCGTGTTCCTCCAGACCCCTACACCAGCCGCCTCTCCTCACTTTCAGGAGATTTCCTCCTCAAATAAGTTAACGAAGAAACAGAAGCCATAGAAACATGATCGTTTTCAAGTTCCCTTCCATCCCTCCACCTCTACATGCACCCACACGGCACTGATTCTTGCCTGCCCCTTTATCGTTTCATAAAATTAGTCATTTGCTCTTTTCCAATCATGCATATGTTCTACTCACGGACGTGTTAAGTATCTAGATTTTTCACTATACTAACAATGCCACAGTGAATTTCCTTAGGCCTATCCCTCCGTGCTCTTGGACACATCTAGAACTGCTTATGATATTAGTTTGTTCATTTGATTTGTCACCAACCCCCACTGTACAAACTTTGAAGAAGTTGGGCAGCCACACTGTCTCAGTCAGAGGAAAGAAACGCATCAGCAGTTCTAACTTCGCCCAGCGATACATTTACCGTCCTCACCTTTACAGAGACCTGACCGTGTGACTGATTATTCAGCACAGTTTGCTGATGTTCCTTCGACGCGGTCGATACAGGGTAATGTGAACAGACAGATGAGTATGAAGAGCCTAATAGTTGCTCTGTAAGTTGTTCGTGGTATTATGAGAACATTTGCTCTCCTAAAAGCTCAGGATGCCAACTCCTTCTTAATAAAACATTAGGTTAGCTCTACTGGGTTGCAATTAACCTCCTTGTCATGGACTGCTTAATCTTAAAAATAAAAGGAAGTCACAGAGGCAGTTAAATCAATCTACTAGGCTGCAACACAAGACTCTAATCCATAAGAAAAAAAGCTTAGGTAAACAATTATACTCTTGGCCAAAGAGACTACATGGTATAATTACTCATATTTCATCTGTTTGTTTCCGCTCTAAAGAAAATCGTTGGCTTCCCACAAGAGGAAGGTTGCTATTTTTGCCGTTATTTTCAACCTACAGAAAAATTTTTGGTCTCAATTATTGGCACCAAGATGTCGTAACTATTTGGCACTGGACATTTCACACTGTAAGTGTTTTGGCAGTTTTAGAATCTGTTTGAAAATACTATACAGTATAAATGGGCAGGGATTTGAGCCATCTCTTTTAGAGCACACATGGCTAATCAACAGAATGGATTTCTTGGCTATAATTTCTCCCCTTTGTATTATTATAAATGATGTATTGGGTACCACTGACTATCTGAACAACAGCTCCAAGACCTCGATACCAGGAACAGAAGATAACAAAAACACTTTGGCCCCTTGTATTATTTTCAGTAAATTGTTGGTTCAAAACAGTACAATCAGAACCAGAGTATTCTCAACTTGTGCTTTTTTTAGTAAAAAAGGAGAGCAGGGGGAAGCGGAGAACACCGTTAAACCCAACAATACGCTTCCACTAGGAAGGGCGAGGGCGGAACCATGCCGGGGGTGAATGGGACCGGAACTCAGCCAGGCTTTGCCTGTCGGGGTCTCCAACAGTAAAATGGAGATAATGACAGCAATTTCCAGAATTATAGAAATCAGCAACAAAGACGCTAACGTTCCTGACACATATTAACTACTTCATCAAAACTGGATTCCCTCCCCTCCAGGGATTTTTGTTACCATCCATCATGGTATAGATCAAAGGTATTGCTGACATCACTCAGTGCCATTCATTTTAAAGGCAAAAATCAACCTAGAATGAACTTGTGGTGATCATAAAATTCATTTGGAGCAAGAACTGCACCCGAATTAGTTAGCTGTTGTCAGTATATATTTACTATCCTAGGTAGCATTTAGAAATAAAGTTCAGAATTAGTTTACTCAAGTCTTTCAACCATGTGTCTGAGTTTTTTGGTAAAAGTGCCAATAGAAGTAGGAGATTGATGTCAATTCCAACCAATTTTGGCAATTCCTCTGAAAACTTGGGCCCTTGCTCCAATCACTGGTCCCTTTTCACATTAAGAAGGTAAAAATGTCTTTGCTCTAGGATTAAAAGTTACATTCTGGCTTGCTAGTGTGTGGATTCACTTGCTNTATATATTTACTATCCTAGGTAGCATTTAGAAATAAAGTTCAGAATTAGTCAGTTTACTCAAGTCTTTCAACCATATGTCTGAGTTTCTTGGTAAAAATAGCAATAGAAGTAGAAGGAGACTGATGTCAATTCCAACCAATTTTGGCAATTCCTCTGAAGACTTGGGCCCTTGCTCCAATCACCGGCCCCTTTTCACATTAAGAAGGTAAAAATGTCCTTGCTCTAGGATTAAAAGTTACATTCTGGCTTGCCAGTGTGTGGATTCACTTGCCTGTTCTGCATCCCAAAACACTATTTCCCATATCCTAGGCAGAACTTTCAGTTCCTAAGTATTTCTTCAAAATTTTGCAAACACCTCAACCTACTCTCTTGCAAGCATCGTCAACTGCCTGATCCTTTCTTCTGATCCTCCTGCCTGATCCTTGAGCTCCCACCTGACCAAATTCCAACTCTGGTGAAATCCAACTCCTCACCTGCTTCTGCATCTATACACCTTTGACTAAACACGGGCGGAGTAAAATACATAATCATGCCCAAAGGTACCAGTGAAACTCATGACCACCGGCCTCAAGTTGACCTTCGAGCTGCTCAGCAAACCTGATGGATTGCCCTTGTCCACTCTCTTCTGCACACTCGTAGGTTACCATTCATACCTACTCCTCTCTCCTCACACCTTCCACACTCTTCTCCTCCATCCCCATCTTTACTCTCAGTTGGTAATCATGTGTCCTAGACTACTGAGGAAAAACAATCAGAGGAAAGCTTCCACTTTATACGTATTTGTTTGTCTGTCCCCCCTATTTGGATGTGAGAGAAGGAACTCTGTATTTCCAGGGCCTAGAATAGTCCCTGCCCCACACTGTGTGAATGACTTGTGCTTTTGATTTAAAAAATGAATACAATAGATAAACAAGGAAAATAAAATAGTCCTAGAAGAGTCATCAAAAGGCTCAAGTTAAGAAACTCTGGGTAAGTAACCGAAGGCTGAATGAAAAGTTAATCTTCTCTTCAACTTCAATCCTCTAGTCCCAACTCATTTGGCTATTGTGGTCTTATCACAAAATCTCATCTGCTGTTTCCCAAAAGTTCCATGGTCCCCTTTACTCAACTTAAAAGGTTGAAAGATATAATTTTTTGCCTAGGTTTCAAAACATGCTTTCATATACTGTTAGTTTTATAGTGATAGTAGGATGACTACTTAATGGATAAATATTTTATCTCTATTGAATTCATATTAAATTTTCAGCTCACATGAATAACAGAAAGTAACTCATATATACCATTCACAGTTACCTTGTGCAATACTTTTTTCAGCAATCTGTTGTGTATTTGAAAGGTGTGGAAGAGTCTCAAAAGAAACCTCTATTCAGAATAAGCTCTTCCTCTACAAATTCTGGCACTGGAAAGAGATAGTTGAATCCTTTCCATGATGGGGTCTGATTTTCCCTATAGATTCTAATTTACACGTATATCAAGCACTTAGTTCAAAATCAAGTGGCCTGTGTTGTCTGAAGTTTATTTATATGTCATTTTTTTGTAAGAATGGATTATGCATTTAAGAGATTGTGACAGACAAAGAACTCTGTGATTCTGATATATACAAATGCAGAGGTGAAGGTGGAGGCAGAAAAATGGAAAGGCATTAATTTGAAAAATAAAAGTCAACCCTTAATATTAACACCCTTTCCCCTACATCACTGTAAAATGCTGCCAACTTTCATTTTCCATAAACAAGCTACAAAGTTACTGACACCACCGTTAATGTTCATCAGGTCAAAGCTGTAAGTATTGTACTCACTTTGGCCAACATTAGCTGAGCCATGACATCACTTAGTGTAAATTAGAGGAAGTAACAGATATCATCAACTGTTGGCTGCAGATTTTTCATAGATGCTCCTTACCAAGTTGATGAAGTTCCTCTCCATTCCTACTTCAATACGATTTTTTATCACGAGTGGGTGTTAGGTTTTGTCAAACGCTTTTTCTATGCAAACTGATATGATCATATTATATTCCTTCCTTAGCCTATTGGTATAGTGAATTTCAATGATTGATTTTTAAATGTTGAACCAGGTTTGCATCTGTGGAGTAAATCTCACTTGGTCACTGTGTGTAATTCTTTTAATACATTGTTGGGTTCTATTTTATTGAGGATTTTTGCATCTATAATTCATGAGAAATATTGGTCTGTAATTTTGCTTTCTCGTAATGTCTTTTTCTGAACTTGGTATGAGGGTCGTGCTGGCCTCTATTTCCTGGAAGAGACTGTGAATATGACAATAAAACCATCTGCACCAGGTGTTTTCCTGTTTTGGAAGCTTATTAATTATTAATTCAATTTACTTAATAGCTATAGGACAGTTCAGGTTGCATCCCCTAATGTGAGTTCTGGGTAGTTTGTCTTCAAGGAATTGGCCCATTCTAACTAAGTTACCAATTTGGTGGCTATGGAGCTGTTCAAAGTATATTTTTTACAATGCTTTAAAGTCCATGGATGTACCGTGATGGCCCTTCTTTAGTCTGATATTGGTAATTTGTATCTTCTCCATTTTTCTTGGTTAGCCTGGCTGGAGGTTTATTAACTTGAGTAATCTTTCCAAAGAATCAGCTTTGGGTTGTAGTGATTTTCTCTAATGTTTTTGTTTCTTATTTCATTGATTTCTGCTCTAAGATTTATTTATTGTCTTCAGCTTGCTTTGTTTTAAATTGTTCTTCTTTGGCTTACTTTCCTATGGTGGAAGCTTAGGTTATTAATTCAATATCTTTCTACTTTTCTAATACATGCATATAATGTTATACATATCCCTCTAAGCACTGCTTTTGCTGTATCCCACATATTTGATAAGTTGTCTTTTTATTTTCATTTAATTCAAAATCTTTTACTAATTTACCTTAATAGACCCATTAATACATTTTTAAATGTATCAATTTCCAAACATTTGGGAATTTTCTAGCTATCTTTCTGTTACTTGTTTCTAGCTTACTTTGCAAGATTTCTATTCTTTTAAAATTTATCAAGGTGTGTTATGGCCAGAATGTGATCTACCTAGTGAATGTTCCATTTAAGCTTGAAAATAACAGGTATTCTGCTGTTATTGGATGGAGCACTTTGCATTTTTAAACAAACAAATGAGCATTAATTATAAGACTAGTCCATTAGAAGATTATTATATTTAAAATAATATTTAAATTTAACCTAAACTTCCTAGAGTATATGATTAAACGCAGAGGAACAGGTAGGACAGGTTCAAAAGAGAATGCTTTATTCATTCTTCTAGGAGATGACTTAATACACACATTTTCAGAAACATTCACCAGTGAATTGATCTATGTTATGCTTTAAATGGTTTGTACACTATAAAATTTTCCTTGCAATTTGATGCTAACCAGAAACTGAGCAAGTATAGGAATATGCATGTGATTTCATCTGCAGGAAGTAAGTGTAATGCAATTTATCTATAATTATGATTACAGTTGGCAAGATTAAAGCTTTTATGCCAGTTTTTTTAAGAGGTAAGAAAAGACAATGTTTGCCAAATGCAAAAAGGAAGACATTTAATTTTTAGTCTCCTAAGCGATTAAAAATATTTCATAAAAACTTCTTCTAAGGGTATTTGAAATCCTTAATTTATATGACACCATTTCTAATTTAAACATAATTGGAGAGAAAAAAATGAGACCAAAAGGTAGGAAAAAGCACATGCCACTGACTGCTGTTTTCTATAGCAGCCTCTCTGAAAATTATAGTCAATAATACTGCAACTGGAATGTTTTCATTTTCTAGCCACTCTCTTGACAACAAAATTGTTCTTTCAATAATCTAGCAACCTATACCCAAGAAAATCTACAGCAACCAAATTTTAAAAAGGTGAAAAGCAACCTGGAAAAGTCAATTAATCAAACCCTAACCAATTTAACAAAATTCAATCGACAAATCAACTGTTCCAATAAGACCTCACCCAAACCATCCCACAAAGTATACATTTTGTTTCTAAAACTCACCATGTTAGAGGTTGTTGAAACTTCCATTACATCGATTCTAAATGGATAATGTTCTATGAAATCTCTCCCTTATAATTTAAGTAGCTACTATTTTAACTTTCTATTTCCATTCAAAAATATAATTGAATAAAACTGATTTGGACATTGACTAGTATGACTGTGAAGCAAAAGAAGGGTCACATAGTCCAGTTTTGTTTTCAGGTTCAACCAATGGATTTTGTTAAAATAATAATAATAATATATTTTAACGGCAGCCTAATTCCTAAGTGCAGTAATTCCTTTGAAAATTACCTTTTGTTGACTCGTCCTCTATGGGCTGTTTGAACAACGTAATATCCTTGAAAGTGCATAGGAACAAGACCACCTTTTCATGTTCATTTCTTATTGGTGCAATTTGCATGTAAAACCACACGGGGGTTCCTGGAAGAGACAGAAAGGACAGCAGAGTGTGACAAAGCCACAGCAATGACTTGGTCTCCTGCCTTCCCTTTTCCTTCAGCTGCCATGCCAGGAATACGATTTTAATTACTAAAAATGATCAGAAACTTTTAATTTTGTATCAACTACCAGTTGCTCAGAAATTAATACACATCTTTTTTCAACTGAAAATATCAAAATTTGAAAGTAAAGCCCAGGGTGTCATTTCACGACCAGGAGCACAAAGGCAGCCTCGCTACTGAAGGCACGCCGGCCCCGCCTTCAGGCCCAGCCCCGCGCCGCTGCTCCCTCCACCTTCCTCCCCCGGCCTCAGCAAGCCTGGCCGCTCCCAGGCGCTCCTCCGAGGCGCCTGGCAAGTGTCTCCAATGGACCTGAACAGCAACGCCTGATGCCATGGGAAGGATTCATCTGAACATCTGAAATGCTCAGATAGACGCATACAATAGCTCAGTGGCTTTGACTGCACCCCCACCTCAGAGACACTTGAAGCCTGATGCACACAGGCTCCACCTGAAGCCTTTAAAACAATAAGGAAGGAGGGAAAACGCCCCCAGCCCTTGAGAACCTCAGGCGTCTTTATGAGCCACTGCTTCCTCCCTCCCTCCCTCAGGGCAGGAGGCTGGGCTCTGTCACCAGGTCCTTCAAACAATGCCTCCTGCAGACTCTGAGGGAGGTTTCAGAGCAATCAAGGCTGAAGATTTGGACAGGTCGGGAACGGGCACTATGTCAAGTAAATATCTGAAGACAGGAGAAATGCCTTCAAAGGAGTAATTATCCATTAAATGATAAAACACTGAAGGAATGTTCCAACAGAATCAAAAAGACAGATTTTGCATCACATTTGCTCTAAGCCACAGTGCAGCAAAGCCTCCCCAAACAGTGTCCCTTAAAGACATGAAGGCCTTTGTCAGGTCTGGGGTTCAGAGAGTGAGCTGTGTAGCTACAAATAGTCTCTAGGTGAGACTCGATAGCCTGTTAGTGGCTGCCAATGAAAACCAAATAAGGAGCACCTCCAGCCCGGCTGGTGTGGCTCAGCAGTTGAGCATCAACCTAGGAACCAGGAGGTCACAGTTCAATTCCCGGTCAGGGCACATGCCCGGGTTTCGGGCTCGATCCCCAGTCAGGGGCGTGCAGGAGGCAGCCGATCAATGACTCTCTCATCATTGATGTTTCTGTCTCTCTCTCC